ATTCAAATGGGGTTTCATCTGGACTTTGTCAAGCTTATTATGGCATGCATTTCTTCCACCTCTTTCTCCTTCAAAGTCAATGGTACTACCTCTGGTTTTGTTTCCCCTTCTCGTGGTATAAGACAGGGGGACCCACTGTCCCCCTATTTGTTTATTATAGTGGCTGAACTGCTTTCTGTGCTTATTATTAAAGCTACTGAATCTGGTAGCCTTCGAGGAATGAAGCTGTCTAGGAATGGCCCTTTGCTCTCTCATCTTTTATTTGCAGACGATTCCCTCTTCTTCTGCAAAGCTGGTGTGGACCAGGCTGGAGTCCTTATGAATATTTTGGAGCAGTATAGACTCTTTTCAGGTCAGACAGTGAATCTTCAAAAATCTGCTATTTTTTTAGTAGGAATACTCCTCAAAATCTTCAATCAGCTATCTGTAGAACTTTGAATGAGATCACAGCCCACAGATCCACTAGATATCTTGGGCTTCTTCTTGGTATTGGTAAATCCAAAAGGGAGGTTTTTGAATATTTGCTGATCTCTGTGAAGAACAAGCTTACCAGTTGGAAATCTAAATTGCTAAGTTCTGCAGGGAAAGAAGTGCTTTTAAAAGCTGTCATACAAGCCCTCCCTGTATATTCTATGTCCTGTTTTACTTTGCCTGCTTCTATCTGTATGGAAATTGCTTCCCTCTGTGCTCAATTTTGGTGTCAATCTAACTCTGAGCAATCTCGAGGAATTCACTGGAAAAGATGGAGTTTGCTTACTCTTCCTAGGGACTGCAATGGCCTGGATTTCCATGATCTGCAACTTTTTAACGAAGCCATGATTTGTAAGCAATTATAGAGGATTGTCTCAAATCCAGACCTTCTGGTCAGTAAACTTCTTAAGGACAGGTATTTTCCTCATTCTTCTATTGTGCATGCTACTAAATCTCAAGGTGGTTCTTGGATGTGGAATTGCTGGATGGCCATGATGCCTTTCTTTGCAAAATGGCTTAGAATTGAAATCAGAAATGGAGTGGGCACTAGAATTGATGATCTGAACTGGGTTCCTAACTTGGGTAAGCCTCTCCCTTCTCTCCTTCCCATTGCAAGGAATCACCACATTTGGGTTGCTCATCTTATGCATAGTGATGGTTTTCACTGGAATGAATGGTTAGTGAAGCAGGTTTTTAATAGCACTGACAGTCAAGCCATTCTCAATATCTCATCTCTTAATCCTCACAGATCTGATAGAGTTTACTGGGGTCTTGACCAGAAAGGAAATTACTCAGTTTCTGGTACTTATAAGCATCTTTGCATAACCAAGGCTCTATTGGCTGACCTCCCTGAGTGCAGCAGCAACTCTTCCATCAAACAATCTACCAAACTCAGGATGTGGAAGATTAAAACACCAAGAAAGATCAAACTGTTTCTCTGGAGATGTATCACTGGTTCTATCTTAGTTGCTGTGAACCTTAAGAAGAGGGGTCTTGAAGTTGACCCTACTTGCTCTATTTGTGGAGAGGAAGCTGAGACTCTGGAGCACATCTTTTTTACTTGCAGAAGAGCTGTTAATGTTTGGAAATTCAGTCAAGTTTGCTGGGATGGATTACAGAACTTCACACAGTCCTTTAAATCTTGGTGGTATCAGCTGTGTACTCTTGACTGTTCTGAAGTTGCTGAAGCTCGCATTCAACTCACTACCTACATGCTTTGGTGGCTTTGGAAGTCGAGAAATTTATGGATCTTTCAGAAGTCTTTGATTCCAGAGCATAAGCTTCCTCAGATTGCTTGGTCAGAGTGGTCTGATTTCTGTTTTGCTTCTTTTTCTTTGCCTTAGTTAGTTTGGATCTTCTTTTGGTTTTTTGTCTTTTGTTATTTAGTTCGATCTCTTGCTAGGCTTTTAGCAGTGGTGGGGATTGTTCTTGTTTCCTTTTTCTCCTGCGGTTTTGTTTTTCTTGAGGTTCTAGGCCTGCTTTTAGCAGGTCTCTCAGTTTATGATTTCGGATTGTTTCTCCTTGTATTCGAACTATGTTCGCGCTGTGAGTTATATAATACCATCTATCGTTTTGGGGAAAAAAAAATCTATAATAATTATGTATTTGTTAAATTTTCATCAAACTGCATATTTTGCCCTTTGAACTAAATTGATATATAATGAAGTTATCTAAAATTGCACATAAATCCTTTAGAT